GGGCTTCCATGGCTGAGCAGGGATTCGAACCCTAGTCTCCAGGACTGTAGTCTGATGCTCAAACCACTATACCATGCTGGCCCTCTCTGTTTCCTATTAACTATTTCCCATGTAGCCTCAGAAAGAAAGGAGATTTTAGACAAATTATCTACCTCTGGGAAACACCCAAGTTGATTTCCACTTATTGCAGTTAAAGGGTCAGTAGCTGAGAGGAAACCAATATGATGTTGCTTCAGACACAGGGGCACTCCAAAGAGCTGCAGCCTTGCATCTCCTTCTCTTCCTCTCTGCCAAGAAACATTTAGGAGTTTATCACATGGGGGAAATCCCGTGCGGAAACGGGGCTTTAAATTAGAAAAAACCTGCAAAAGCGGGTGTTTTTTCAGACGACGTCGCTGTTAAAAGGAGGTTAATCCAAACGGAAATTAGACAAAAACTGCTTCTTTTTACTTTCGGAAGATCCCAAAAGTAAAAAGAAGCAGTTTTTGTCTAATTTCCGTTCGGATTAACCTCCTTTTAACTGCGCTGAAGTTTATCACACAGGGAAATCCCGTTGATAAATTGCTTCCGCTTTTTGCAGTTTTTTTTTCCAATTTAAAGCAGCGTTTCTGCAGGGACTCCCCGTGTGATAAACTCCTTAGAGATATTAGACTTGTAATACAACTTGATCACTCTTTAAAATTTCCTGCCCTTCTGCCTCACTTCCTTGGCTGCCATTTGTAGGTTTGGGAGATTTTCCAACACAATTTATACTGTGCCAGACATGGTGTATGGCTAGACTACATGCTAGAAGAAGACTAGACACATAGCTGTGGCTTTTTAGTACTGCTGTCCTACCCTGATCATAATGTCTAATCACACATTAAAATGCTGTCAAATGAAAATTATTTTTACCTTAATTGAATCTTCTTTGTGAAAATCTACAATACCTGAGCAGTAAAAAAGACAAAAGCCAGCAATAGAATAGTTTAGCATGGAACAAAATGGAAGGAATGCTGTTAGATCTGATTTTCCACATTGTATTGTTCTAAGAAGCTTATCATATTGATTTTGAAACCGGTTTACTTGATCCAGTATAAAACTTAAAGCGGGTGGCATCTGATCTTATCAGAAGGATTTAGCTGCCGTAATCGCCACCTGGGCCTATCTCCGCTCCCAGGGGCACTCAGCGCACCTATTTTTAAAGCTGGGAGTTTTCTGGCTTAAGAAAATGGCTGCTGGAGCAGCCCTGAGAGCAGGGATGGACCCAGGATGGACCTGAGTGGAGATTTCGGTGGCTAAATCCTTCTGATAAGATCAGGATGCCGCCCACTTTAAATTTTAAACTGGATCAGGTAAGCTGGTTTTAAAATCAATACGATAATCTCCTTAAGGCAAACTTCCTCTGAATAGATTTTGCCAAGAAACCCCCATGATAGGTTTGCCTTAGGAATGACTTGAAGGGACATAATACACAAACAATTCTAATATTATCCCCAGCACATTTACTTTCTAGAACCTTGACCAAGATAACAACCATCCTCTTGTCTCCTTATCCAGAAAGGATCAAGGTGAGTTAGGTAATAGTTAGAAAACTACAGAAGGTAGAAACTTCAAGTCCACAATGGTGCTTAGATTTGACCGACCTAAATTTCTTTCAGAGAAAATTGATGAACACAGTAAATGGAGTGGAAAGCAAACCCTCTTTGAGGAAATATAGAAGGAATTGGGAAGGTTTATCCAAGAGAACTTAGGAAGATGATGTGACAATTGTTGTTGTGTGCCTTTGAGTCGTTTCTGACAGGTTTTTCTGTAGATGAGAATGTGTGACTCATTCAGGATAAACCAATGGGTTTCCATGGCTGAGTAGGGAATCAAACTCCGCTCTTGAGAGCCCTAGTCCTATGCTCAAACCACTATACCAGGGGTTGGCAAACTGCGGGCCGAACATGGCCCGCCGAGATCTTCAAACCGGCCCGTGGCCAGTCCTGCCGCCGCCACTACTGCTGCGCAAGCGTGGGGCGCCATTTTGCTTTCCAAAATGGTGCCCACACTTGCCACACACGTGAGAGCGGGCGCCATTTTGGAAGGCAAAATGGCGCCGGCGTCGTGAGCGCATGCGCATGGCACCGGCGCCGTTTTGCCTTCTAAAATGGAAAGCAAAATGGTGCACCACACTCACATACGTCTGCGCACCATGGCGGGGTAGTGCACAAGTGCATGCAAACTTTTTTGGGGCACGCCATTTCCCCCCCCTCGGCCTGCCCCCAAAAAGTTTGCCGACCCCTGCACTATACCAAGTTGGCTCTCAGTGTGACGGTAGTCTCTAAATATTTGAAGGTCTTCATACTGAAAGGAGAAAAACTTGTCTTCTGCTACCTCAAAAAGCAGGATGAAATCTAATAGGTTAGTATTACAGAAGTGTTAGCACTCCCTGCCTAATCCGTGCTGTATTTTAGGGTCCCCATATGGGAAGTTAGTATGTTTTTGAGAGATCAACAACCTTTCAGAAATGCTAGATCAGGTTCCCAGAAGAAAAGGAGCAAGTCTTAAGGCATGTAGATATCCAGGTTATGGGACAATCAAATCCAAATGCATGAATTAAGTGCTCCTTCCTTTCCCCAAGTCATCTGAATTGCCTCTTGCAACCTGAGACAAAAGGATGACCTTGCACCAGTAGTAGTAGTAATAATAATAATAATAATAATAATAATAATAAGATTTATTTCTAGCCCGCCTATTTCCAAAGGGAACCAAAGTGGGTTACAAGCTTAAAAATAAAAGAATACAATAAGAAAACAATAATATAGAAGTTGCAAAAAAAAAAAAAAAAAAGCAAATACACGGGGGTGGGGAACCTATTCTGGGAAGGCCTGTAGGATGAGATCCGTCTTAAGTGCCTTTTTAAAGGCTATTAAGGTGGTGATGTGATGGATCTCCTCCAGCAGGTCATTCCATAACCTGGGGACGGCAGTCGAGAAGGCCCTTTGGGTTACTGCAGCCAATCTTGATTTTTTAGGCTGCAGAAGATTTTTCCCAGAGGACCTTAGTGTGCAGGGTGGATTGTGTGGCGCTCCTGCAGGTAGTCAGAACTCAAGCCATGTAGGGCTTTAAAGGTGATGACCAACACCTTATACCACGCCCGGAAACTAATTGGCAGCCAATGTAGAGATTTCAAAACAGATGTTATGTGGTCAGTTCTAGATGTTCCTGTGACCAGTCTGGCTGCCATATTCTGTACCAATTGAAGCTTCCGAACTTGGCAGGAGGGTAGCCCCATGTAGAGCGCATTGGAGAAGTCAAGTTGAGAGGTTACCAGTGCATGTACCACTGTTTTTAGTTCGCCCGTATCCAGGAAGGGTCTCAGCTGGAGAAACAGCCAAAGCTGATGACAGGTGCTCCTGACTGTCGCATCCACCTGAGCGGTCAGGTACAGTGGCGAATCTAGGAGCAACCCCAGACTGTGGACAGAGTCCTTCAGGGGAAGCATGACCCCATCCAGAACTGGCTAACATATCTTCATTCCCGCATTGGGGGTCTCTATAGCAAGTACCTCCATCTTGTCTGGATTCAGTTTGAGTTTGTTTTCCCTCATCCAGTCCATTATCGTCCCAAGACAGTCACTCAGAGGAGAGATGCCATCCTTAGTCACTGCATCAGTCTGAGACATAGAGAAATATATCTGGGTGTCATCAGTGTATTGATAACACCCCGCCTCATGTTTCCAGATGATCTCACCCAGCAGCTTCATGCAAATGTTAAACAGCATGGGAGACAGAATGGGGACACCAGATTTTAGCTCTCTTTTAGAAGAGCAACTGTCTCCCCGCATCACCATCTGGAATCTGCCAGAGAGGTAGGAACGAAACCACTGCAAAGCAGAGCCTCCGATTCCCAACTCTCTCAAGCGTTTCAGAAGGATACCATGGTCAATGGTATCAAAGGCTGCTGAGAGGTCCAAGAGCACCAACAGGGTCACACTTCCCCTGTCAATGCCCAGACTAAGGTGACCATGGCAGTCTCGACTCCGTATCCTGTCCTAAACCCAGTTTGAAATGGATCTAGAAAATCAGTTTCATCCAAGACTGCTTGGAGTTGAATGGCGACAGCTCTCTCGATAACCTTGGTTAAGAATGGTAAAAGTGATATTGGTCTGTAGTTGTTTTTGTCCAGGGGGTCCAGGGAAGGCTTTTTAAAAAGTGGTTGACCACTGACTCTTTTAGGCATGGTGGAAGTCAGCTTTCCCTGAAGGATGCGTTGATTATAAGTCTCAACAACACCTTGATGGGAATCTTCCCCCTGGACAGTCAGCCAAGATGGGCAAGGATCGAGAGAGAAGGTTGAACATCTCTGCCTATCCCCTGTTGTGTTCCCAGCCAAACTTCCCTGTCCATCCATCGTGGGGATATCCTGATTCAACTATTGTCTGTATCACACTAAAATTAAAACCATCAACTAGTCCAGAATCCCATTGTCAATTCCTGGGAAAAGAGATCCAGCCTTTGTTACCTTACAAGATAGCCCACTGCTTGGGGCTAGTTATCAGGTATAACTATTGGTTCCAGGAATCCAGTCTGCACACTCACAGTACACATACAGATGTCCCAGGCTGCCCCCTGTGTACGCAACTGGGCTGCCCTCAAACCTCCCAATCTGAGCCACTCCACTCCAGCTTTCCGTGGTCTATTCGTTGGACAGATAAATATCAACCCCCACCCTACAAACCTCTCAATCTCTGCTATCCCATTTCCCTGTTTCCACTTATATCTGAATGCTGTTTCTGTGTGAATTGCTGTTGTGTGTGTGTGATATTTTGCTAAATAAAACTCTCTTAATTCACCCCAAACCTGGAGCTCTCCTCAGTTATTATTGGTATAAACAGGTGCATATGGTCTTAAAGGTTACCCAAGCCTTTCACAAGCTAATTGCTCTTACAGTTAAAATAATACCATCATATTTGGTGGGGACTCCCTCCAGTCCATCACCTTTCTTTGGGTAACAGAAGGTTAGATTTGATTGAATAGTAAAAGAGGAATTTCACAAAAGTTGTAATTCTTGGGTGGGAGTTTATTACACAGGAGGCAAGGTGCCCAATTCCCATGCAGAAATGGGATTGAAAACCCAGGAAAAACCCATAAAAGTGGGTTGATTTTTCAGACATATCGGGGTTAATGAGCATTAACCCTGCATTATTAACACAGATAGAAAGTTGACAAAATGCTCCACTTTTTACTTTTGGGATTTTCTTGACATTCTGTTCGGGTTACTGTCGCATTAATGCTCATTAACCCCAACGTCTTCTGAAAATCAATCTGCTTTTGCGGGTTTTTTCCACTTTCTGTCCGGGTTAATATCAGATGTCGTATGAAAATCAATTCACTTTTGTGGGTTTTTTCCAGTTTAAATCTCATTTTTGCACGGGATCCCTCCCGTGTGATAAACTTCACAGACTAGACAGCCATCTGCTGAGGATGCTTAGTTCTGGATCTCTAAGCAAATGATTGGGACTATATATCCCCCAAGCCACTTCAAATCAATGCTTCCACAGATTACAACAGAAAGAGAAGGGGAGCAGGGGCTCATCTTTGGAACCTGGAATGCCGAGTTTGTTTATGAAGAGAAGCTGGCCTTAAGTATTTGAAGAGATGAGAGCACTGGCTTAAATCTGTTTCTAGATTGTACCTGCTTTGTTTAAACTTTTGGTTAGCTTAGCCATTAATAAGCCGGCATAATAAATCAGGACACTTCAAACTGACAAACAAATAAAAAGGCAGTTTCTGTGTCTCCAATGTGGTCTTAAAGTTTTAAAGCCTCTGCATAAATACAGTCCACCAATAAAACTATTAAACTAGTCTGCTGGATATTTCACATAAACAACATTTCCAAGAGAAATCAGATCTCTTCTGTAAATAAATTCTCCATCTAGTCCAAGAGAGGTAAGAGGCTTGGATAATTTGTTACCCACCAATTGAGATTTTTAATGGAGTACTGCCTTTAACTTCAATCCTTTAACTATTTAACAGAGTCAAATGAACTCAGTGAATTTACATTTCAGTAGACATTCCTAGGAGTTCACCATCTATTCCCAGAAAGAATTACATACAGTGGGCCCTTGGTATCCACTGCGGTTTGACTCCAGGACTCCCTCCCCCATGGATATCGAAATCCTGGATGCTCAAGTCCTATTAAATACAATGGCATAGTAGAATGGTGTTCCTTATATAAAATGGCAAAATCAAGGTTTGCTTTTTGGAATTTATATTTTTTGAATATTTTCATAAGTCATTTCTGACTTATGGCGACCCTAACCCGAACCTGTCACAAGGTTTTCTTGGCAATATTTCTTAAGAGGGTGTTTGCCTTTGCTTTCTCCTGAGGATGAGAGTGTGACTTGTCCAAGGTCACCTGGTGAATTTTCATGACTGGGCAGGGATTTGAACCCTGGTTTCCACAGCTGTAGTCCAACGCTCAAACCACTACACCACATAGGCCCCAAAATTCTACAAATACACAATGTACCAACACACACTGGAGGAACATAATTCACATAACTGATTTCTTTCTTAACTAGGAAGATTCTACACAGACTTACCAATTTTTTCTGAAGGACAAGCCAAACTCAGTGTGTTGGGCTGGAATTTTGGAGATCCACTTTCCATTGAACCCAAACTCACTGAATCAATTTGAGCAAAGAACTCTCTCTATCTGACATACTCCGTCAAGTTGTTTGTAAAAATAGGGGACAGGGGAGAAAACCATATACAGTGGTCCCTTGGTCTCCACTGGGGTCTGGTTCCAGGACCCCCTGTGGATGCCAAAATCTGTGGAAGCTCAAGTTCCATTATATGGGGTAGTAAATAGTGTCCCTTGTGTAAAATGGAAAAATCAAGATGTGCTTTTCAGATTTTTTTTTTCCAAGCTGTGGATGCTTGAATCTATTGATGCAGAATCTGTGGATATGGAGGGCCGACTGTACTATACTTTGAGCTCACTGGAAGAAAGGTAAGATATAAATGTAACTGATAAATAGATGCATATGTTTAAGTACACCTGTTAAGTTCATTAATGCTTCCTCTCAAGTAACTGTGCAGAGGATTAAATGTATAGCAGAATAATCCTGTATATCTTTACTCAGAAGTAAATAATCTGTATTAGGAATGGATAAGATGGTCCTATGGTTTGAAGGACAATTTTTCCTTCTGTGATTTAAAATCTTACACTAACAATGCTGTAGTACAAAAGTGCCATTTCACTGATGCACGATCTCTCTTTCCCAAAAGTTTTTTTAAGGGAAAGAAACAGGGAACAGAGACTTTTTTGTTTTGATACATTTTGGCATTAAAAGAGAAACCCATGTGATAAAATAGTTAGGAGAAAATATTTTAGCTGGTGCCAGTAGGCATGTTAATACTTCACTACTTCATACCTATAAGTGAGGATGAATAATTGTGTTTTCTCTCCGCTGTGGAGAACATTTTTTTCTTGTGCAATTCTCACTCTGTATTCG